CTGCCGCGCCTCGACTTCATCAGTAAAGTCTGGTTGCTGCAGCGATGGTTGCATGATCGCGTGTACTACTATCGAGCCTGAACATACGCCAAAGGTCGGCGTTTGTAGAGGTACTTTTACTACCCATAAGAAGACTACTGAAAGCCATCGACGTGCTCACTACAAACTGCTTTATCGTGATACCATAGGGCATTGTAAAAGTGACTTCATTCGTAAGGGTCTTAAACCAACACAACACGACAAATGCTATTACTAGAAACCAAAAAGGAACAACAACAAGAATGTGTATTATCTGCCCATGTGCCCCTAGTGTAGTGTTTGGTAGAGGACCACCTTCATATAGTAATGTCTGCACTTACAGGATCGCAGAAAGCCATGTGGTTGGCGAGGAAGCGCGACTCAGACTGATGACCTGGTTTCGAAGGCAAAAAACCTACAGTGATTTCGATAGCGCTTGATGGAAGGTCGAAAGATTTATGAGGATAATCAGTGATGAGAGGAAGCCTATCCGGAGGGAACCCCCTCCCAGACCCCTGCCCCTGGTTTCAATCTCTGTGTCCTTCAAAGAGCAGCCTCTCATCACAACGACAGACTCACTCAAGCAATAGATCGATATCGTTGCATGACGAACTTCGGCCCGACCGATACCCTACACAAGGGCACATAGTGACGGTCCACCCGTGATGATGATGACGATGATGAGCCGTGAGGCTCTTATGAAAACGGTTCGTAACCCCTTGTAATTCCCATCGAGTGCTTTCGAAATTCACCACCACAGGTTGCCATGCTAACTCTCAATTCCACAGCAACCTTATAACCAACACATTCCAACGCTCATCACGAGCCTGCCCCTCCACCACCGTCTTTGTCTCTCCATCAGAGACATCAGAGTATAGCCTACGGACTGCAGAATTGTTCTTCAATATCGGTCCTTCAGATGCAATGCAGACTCAGCCATTATACTGCAATCACTAGCCAGAACTACGGCAGAGCTACTCGGCTACCGCATCTTGACAAATTAAAACGTACGATCAAACCTCAGAATGCCCAGGAGTTCGATCTCCACCGCTCTCCCCCCGTAGTAGCTCAGTGAGTACTAAGGTCATTAGTAGCGAGCCCGAGCAGCATTGGCCAGCAACGAGCCGACAGACTACTTCAGAAAAAAAGGAACGTTTGGTCATCATTGCCAATAGAGACTAAAACTTGTCACTCTTGTCTCTAGACTACGCACAGCGCAACACAAGCTTCACAAAAGCGTCCTTCAACATCACAACGCTGATCGACCTTTCGTATTCCGACGCCCTAGCGTACGGATGTAATAACAAGTGAGTATGGGCATATTAGTGACCACCGTGATGACCTTTGTAGTAAGCCTCCCGACGGCGGGCGAATCTGAGATTGAATAGTGAGTGCCACGGACAAGGTCCGACAGCCTTACTCCTCGTTCATAGCCTCAACATTGAGCGTCTTGAGCCATCTCTGTTCGGCCTCATTGTTCCACTTGACCATAGCATAACCTGGGGTGTTGGCTGGTATCTCACCCTGAAGGGGAGAAGGAGGAGTTGGAGGAGCTGGACGACGGAGATGAAAAGCTCACATTTTTTATCTGGTTCTGCTTCTCGAGCCACCAAGACCACATCCAGTTGGGATTACGATGGCGTGGTATCTAGAGGTTGAGCAAGCAAGATACGAAATAGGTCCTCGTCGATCCATTGAATACACCGTATTGACAGGCAGCAGCATATTCGGCAATCCAGATAACAGCGAGTGAGCCGAAAAGGTAACGTGTGAAGTAATTGCCGTGGAGAAGGCGCCTGCCACCCATTACAAATCCAATACCACTGCT